CTGAAACAACCTCTGGGCTGATCTAAGTCAGGGCATGGTTAACTCACAGATCAAACCCTGAAACAACCTCTAGGCTGATCTAAGTCAAGGCATGGCTTTCTTTCTTTGATCGTTAAGCCAAAAATGACTTAAATTTCCTCGCCAGTTTTCAGTCTGAATCGGACTGATCAACGTCATTTCTTAACAACCTCTTCCACTCTCACACAATAGGTATGCACACTCTTATCATTAATCAATCATATATTAAAGTGGTTTATCTCATAACACTATTTATGGCWTAATTATATGACTTATTAAATGATGTTTGAGGAGTGGAAAGCACTCGACACTCAAATGGCTTCTTTGCATTCATCCAATCACAAGACGCAGGTAAGCAATCATTTGAATGTCGCTAAAACTCACTTTTTCTAATTGTAAAATTTTCGAGACGCAATCTAGATCGTTGTACTGGTGCTGCGAGTTGTTGTCCTGTTAATTCAGTCACAAAACGCTTGAGGACAACAGATATCCGTTTTAGCGGCAAAACACGTAATAGAAATTGAAATATCCAAAAACTGAATATGAAATACTTGTCACTCGATCCATACACTTAACGCCAAACTTGAGTAATTATTATCAAAAGTGCTGCTGTTATCCATGCAATTATCACTTCCGATTTATGACAACTAACAGTTAAAGATGAATATTTGGGGACATGTTTCAGTTTGTCACTGATATTTGAAAGCTTCATTCCCATCGCAGTTTGCAGTTCTGCATGTCTTTAATTAATGTTTACAGCCATCTGGACTACGTTAGAACTACAGGTGACCGATTCTTAAGTAATTTACGTCATTTATTTATTGGTTATAATCAAATATAAACTCGTGTTTRGAATACATCAAACAGGAACTTACTTCTAACACGAAATGGTGAGTACGCAATGTCTGTAAATATTCTTTAACCATATTTTTATTGCTGAACTGAGGTGCTTTAATCGACTTTAAGTAGTTATGTTCAATCTCAAGATTGAAATGTGAGTAATTAGAAAAGGAGTTTGTTATAGCATATAAGTATGACAAGGTTCAACTTCGTTAAAAGTCAAAGTAAATAAGAATATGAACAGGAAAAAGCAAGAAAAATATCCACTACCTTTGTCATGGAACCAACTATTGTATATCGATGAGAATTTTTCTGGAAAATACGCACTTATCTTTGGATAAATTAGTAATGATGAAAAGGTAAATTATACACCGTGAAAAGATGAAAAAACTTACTGACGTTTCGGACGCTAGTCCTTCGTCGGAGTAAAAGAGATAAATTAATGGTGCATTGTTCCTCCTAAGGGCTTTCTGATTAAGTCTTGCAAAAATATAAAAACACACACGAACAATACAGCTAATATCGATTGACACTTTTTTATAAAAATCAAATGAAATTTTTTGTGGAAGAAAGAAAAGAATAAAGCTGTAAAAAAAGCTCTTGGACGAAGATCGACAAATATATTTGGCCTTGCCAAGAAGTATTTCCAAAAAATCTTTTTAAAAAAATTAGGCAACCTCGAAAGATTTTGTTGTTGAAAACTAGCGCACTAAGAATCGCCCAATGTGCTGTACTTGAAGATATYGTGAGAATAACAACAGCCAGAATTKATCAAAGAGTGAGATATATATTGTTAGGTAAGAAGCTATATCATCGTTCTATATCGGGCTTTAACAACAGGGTGTTTATCATCACTAGAGCATTTTTTTCCTTTTCTACTGTCWACCTTCCTTCGGCTAAAAATTGTTTTTCGCTTCTCGTTACAGAAAAGGTTAACAATCATTTTAAAACTTATAAACCAGAGAATACGATAACCCATGTTTTCTATCTTTGTCTAATGCCGCAAGTTCGAGCTCAATTTTGAGCACTCTTGCTKGAAAGAAATGTTGAACTGAGAAAACCTTATAAGGTTAACAGCTATCTTAACTTCTTAAGTAAGAATAAATCATAATCATGATAATTGAAAAACCTTTTAGAATCGCAAACAAACCAAGACATCACGTGATACGACTCACCTTTTAAAAAAATAATTTGTGATATCTTTACTTTGTTTTGAATTTCTGTTTTTTAATATGGACTGATTGAAATTTGTATTTCATTTTATTTTTTTATTTTCCGAATTTTAACCTGTTTCAATTTAAATTCAATCGCCAATTGTGAAACGTGAAAACACGCATAGTTAATAATATTTATATATTCATAGCTTATCACTATATCTAGCAATCGAATAACAGTTAAAGGATTAACGAGTAAAATGATTCCACGCCATTCCATACATCGGTTCACTGGTCAGACACAAAGCATTCAGTCAAGGTTGCAAGGTTCAAATTTGAACAATTCTTTGAAAGTWATTTGGCGCCTCGCTTGAAGGCTTTGCGTTTGACCAGWGAACCAATGTATGGAAAAGAGTGAATTAGATATAGCTATAATCTAAAGTCATTTCTAATGACGCCAGTCGTCTGTATTTATGCACCAGGCAATTGAAACCCCGGCCCCCCCGTCGAACCCTAGCCCTTAACGCTGYGAGTACCAACCTCTTGTTCTATGATTTCGTAAATATTAATGACAATATTTTGTARCATGTAAAATTGTTCTTTTATGAAAAAATATTTATACTTACCTTGATATTTTGTAGTATCCCTAAATGTCCGTCGCCCATTTTGAAGCTATTTCGGAGCGACTTCATGGAGTTATCTTTACTTTATGTTTCCCCTGTCACTCACGGCGACACCAACTGCTATTCGCAGYTCACTAAATCCAAAAGATAAAGCCAGGGCCATAATTCCACGACAAAATCAAAGAACACATGCTAAGCTTCTCTCCATTACGCTCAAATGTTGATCCTTCTAAAGCGTGAATGCTAGAACTCAATGTATTCCTGGTCGAATCTTTCACTTGTGTCTCTCCAATAACCTGCGAGAAAAGACATGAAGACCTCTAGGTTCGAAGTGTATGACGGTTAACTGTTTTAGACAAAGGACGCTAGTGTGAATTCCATATATCCATGAAACAATTAGTTCGTAGGTAGAGCTTAAAAGTATTACGTTAACAACTCTTCAGTAGTGAAAATAGCTAAGAATTCACTCAGGCATGAACCAAACAAAGATGTGTGGAGGTATTTGCTTTTGTTCCCAATGTTCTGCTTAAGTAATATCCATTATTTTGTACAAAATAGCTGCAATTAGACRATGAATCTTTGGCGGTTGTTTCACGGACATAATGGCATAAACTCCGATAGGCCCTGGTATCTTTATTAGGGTTTGTTGGGCGGTGACAATGGGCGCTGTCTACCCCCTCCACTCCAGGGTGGTGTTTCAGTTGACAAAGTCAGCAAATGCATGCYACATCATCGAACCTTGAACTCTTCGCGTTTTTAACGCTTTTTTCAAGTGACGGCCAATTAAGTCATATTATGAAATAGCTGTTAGAATGTCGCGTTCTGATTGGCTTGGAGCGCGTGCTTTCCGTTGCGTCATTCCTATCTAAAGTAACGGTTATTGTAATTTGTATTTCATAAAAGAAATAAAAAACTTGCTTGCTGTGCTGTGTGGAGATATAAAGCACTCGGGGATTGGCAGAACACTCGAGAAGTGTCCAGAAGCACTCTGCTACGCATCGTGCTTGTCCTAACACTTCTCTCGTCTTCTGCCAACCCCCGCGTGCTTTATGACAGCACACAGCACGCGCGCGCGTTTTCTATTTCTTCAACTATTAACACGTGTTTGTTTTCAGACAACCTGTCATCTCGTTGTCATGGAGATCAACAGGGGCTTCTTTATCTTGGTTGTGTTCATTTCTTCGTTTATTTTTTATTCCCAACAATGTTACGACATGAAGAACCTAAACAGAGGTACGTATGTGCAGTAAAAATGCTACTTAATATTTCTTTGTACACAATGATACCATCAACAAACTTGATAGCTAAAACTCAATAGAACAAAGCTATTGTTTTGCGTTTGAGGTTGAACCGTACCATCACTTGATACTGACCGTGCACAATGGCTAAAACACTCATTTCCTTATCATTTTCATGTATAAAAAGTTTATGAGTGAGAACTTTCATTCCATGACCACAAACTACGCGGATAAGTATTTCCACGCAGATACAGTTGCTACATGATAAATAAGAAAGTATGAAAAAAGGCAATTTTCGTTTCAATGAAACAATAATTAATATCATATAGGATTAATTAACAAATAATAAGTATTTTAGAACGTCTTTTTTGGGGGGGAGTGGGGGGGATTCCATATTCCCAGAATACTACGAGCAAACGGAGCAATTTTTTCTATTTTCCTTTTCTGTGTACGGACAACGTCATATAACAATGCATAAAGTCGAAAAAAAACCTAGAACAATAGGTTTCCCTACCATTCCGTCGCATTAACCATGGTTGGTGCGTCATTACGATGGTTAGTGAGTTGATTAATGGTTGGATGGATGGTTAGTGAGTTGATTAATGGTTGGATGGATGGATGGATGGATGGATGGATGGATGATTAATATTTTTTCATCCTAGATCCAACGTCACCTATAGCAGAATTGAGCTTCATTCCAGAAGAAAACATTTTTTCTACTGATGAAGTGTTCAACATCATTTGTATCGCCAAGAAAAGCAAGGAAGGTGATGATGAGTATTCGTACCCGACCTCGATTCTGATCTACATGAATGAGACAGTCGAT